CAACACACGCTTGTATTATTTTTTTTTTCCAAACGTATTTATTATTGTTATTATTCTGCACAACAGCGTGGTAAAGCATTTTGTTTCTTTGGTGAATTGTTAAAATTTTATAATTCTTTTAAAGAGAAATAATGTAACAAAATATATATTCAATTGAAAAAAACAGACAGATTAAAGTCTAACATACTTACAGCATCATCAGATTTTTGTACCTCCACAGACATGTTGCTTCAATTTGCAACTTTGAAATTGGATTTCATCTACCCTCTAGATTAAATCTATTTATAATGAAATTGCCCATCCTGGTTTTGTATAAATATCAATTTAAATCATTTTCTGCAGCAAGATTTTGTTAGTTTTAAAATTACTTTTTTTGCTAACTTGTTTAGAAAAAAAATGCAAGAAACTTGTCACACTGATAAAAGGTAATCCAAATAAAATCAAAGGATGAAAGGATTGCATAACTAAAAAATGTGTGAGAAAAATGCAGGGATTCTAGAGCGAAAGGGAAAACAAGATACTTAAGTGAGTAAAACAATATATTATAGATAAGCAATGGAGCATTTCTAAGTAGTGTAAATAAAGTTCATTTCCGTTTTGAACGGAAGTTGTCGTAAAGCACGAGTTTGTTTCCCGTGCGGCTGCAGGTTCCTATAACAACATTCAAGATGGCGGCCGGAGACGAGTACACTGCAGGTGAAGTTTTGAGAGGACTTGCTCGACAATTAAACTTTTTAAACGAAGACAACAAGTCGAAAAGGAAAAAGAGTCTTCAGGAGATAAAGAAGGAAACTGTAGATAAAGGACTCCCTAGCGAAGTTTTACAAGAGGTTTTCTCCGCTCTCCTCAAGCCTCTTATCAAATGTATGTCAGACTCGAACGATGCCTGTAGAGAAGCAGCGGTAGAGCTGATTACATGTTTTATTCGCTGTGCCCCCAAACCGGAAGAGCCACTGCCGTATCTCATGCCCTGTCTGGCGCAAAGGCTCGGGGATAAAGAAATTGTGGAACCGTCAGAGGAGCTCCGTTTGGCTGCTGTGGAGATGCTGACCCTGACCGTGGAGGTGTGCGGTAAACACTTAGCTCCTTATCTGACCGACATGATCAACATCCTGCAGAGAACCATCGTAGATCCTTTCCCGGATGTCAGAAGAGAAAGCTGCAAATGCACAGTGAAGTTTGCAAACAGTATCCCAGGTAATCGAACGTACTCAAGCACGGAAACATAAAAATAACCTGCCCTTGTGGCATGTCCACAAAGACACTCAGACAACACAACCATTGCCATACAGTGGACCCCCAATTCTTCTTCCCCAGGTTGTCGTGAAGAGTCGAAAAAACAAAGTAATGCCACAATGTTATGTTCTTGACAAAATACTGTTTATCAAACACCAGAGACTCCTGTGTTTGGATTCCCCAGAGGAACCACATGTCCCTAATGGTATCTCCAGTGTGGCAGCCCAGTCGGTTGCACACAGTCCCTAATGGTACCTCCAGTGTGGCAGCCCAGTCGGTTGCAAAGACTCACTGTATTTCCCAATTGTGGGACGAATAAGAGACTTAGTTGATATTATTATTGTTAAAATTACTATAATTATTTAAATAAGTATGAATCTGCTCATTATTGTCTCATTTGAATTCAATATCCTTCTCTGCAGAGCATTTTCACATGCAAGCAGAGAGTCTGATCAGGCCACTTATGCAGACGATAGCTCACCAGCGCTACAAAGTACGAGTGGCTGTCATTGAAGCAACCGGAGAAGTCATCCAGCACAGCAGCGGGAAGAACGTGGATGATGTTCTCTCTCACATGGCACAAAGACTGTTCGACGACTCACCACAGGTTCAGATTTACAAATATTGAATGTGTGCTTCTCTAATCCTGCCCAATGAGTCACATCTATTTGCAATTAAATCCAACATTGAGCCATTAAATTACTGCTTGATTGATACTTGAAGGTGAGAAAAGCGGTGACTGCAGTAGTTGGTGGTTGGCTACTTCGCATGAGAGACAGATACTCGTATTTCAACAAACTTATCCCTCTTCTCCTGAGCAACATCAGTGACGACATCCCCGAAATAAGGTATGGGCCAAGATATTTACTGTACATACATCCCTCTTGAGTTATGGTCTTTACTCCCAGTCATTTATAATTTTTCTGGCTCATGTTCAGGACTGAGGTCAACTAAATATTTGTATGGCTTGTGATTGCTCCCTCCTCCTGTAGACTTCTGGCAGCTGATTTATGGAGACAAGTGGGTGAACAGTGGGAGAAGGAAAATGAGGAGGACATCAAGGACAAGATGGACTTCCTTCTCAGCTCACCTCCTTTCTATCCTGCAGGAGGTCAGTCATAATTGGCAAAACAGCAACTAATTTCCTTATTTTATCAATTTATATCTGATTATTATATTATATATTATATATATAATATATTATTTGTTTATATATTAAAGACATAATTTATATCCCTGATTGTTTATTGTTTATTGTAATAAATATAAACAAAAGGTTAATTTTGAGTGGATAATTTATTTAGTTCCTATCAATTATAATTTGTTGAAAAAAATGACAAGAATGACTAATACTTATTTAAGAGTATCTTCTTAAATTGAGCATCTCACCTGAATCTCACCGGAATATCAGAGCAGTTAATGACTGTTATAATCCCATGCATTTACAGTTACAGTCTTACTGTACATCCCAGAAAGAGAGCTAAGTAAAAGCGGATTCTGGTTAAACAGATTACATCTGTCTTTTTACGATCAGTTGTCCACAAAGTTGTGAAGACATCAAAACAATGATACGTCTGTGTGATGCAGAGATGAGACTGTCCTGACAGCTCTGATGTTTACCTGAGCAATTAAACCTGCATATCCTTATGATCCACCTTAAGCTCTGATCATTAGTTCAGCGTCTTGTCAGGTGATCCTAATGGCTCCTTAAGCAAGAGCGTCTATTATATCATATTCAAAGTTTGGAGGGCCTGAATTCCAGTTTTACTACTGGAATAAAAATTCCAGGTGTATCCGCTTCACCCCTCTCTTCCTCTGGAAAAATATAATGCCACCACCAGACAGCAGAAGACTGCAAATGTAAATTATCAATACAGACGTCACTATGTACACAGCAGTGCATTAAATCATCCTTTTCACTGGAGCTGTCTAAGGTTATTACACACAGTAAAAGCAGTGATGCTTTGTCTGACAGTGTACTTCTCAAGACAGGCACTGGCTTAGAAAGATAGGTGGCCTGAGGGCTGAGACTGAGATCTGGCCACATGGTCACAGTGCTTAATCTGTGTTTTTTTGGGGTCTGGGGTTCTTTTAATTTTCCCGTTAAAATATTTTTAACAAGTTTGGTGCATGTAAGCTGTGCCCAGGGAATAGGGCCACAGGAAGCAGTTATTTGTCCCCTCCTCTTTGTCTTTTTTTTTTAGCAGTTATAAATCTGCTCGGCCTCTCAGTGTGAAGAGGTCAGTGTCAGGCAGTCAGAGACAACCAAAAAGGAGCTTGTTTTGTCTTGTCCCAGTCTCATTTTTCTGATTTATCGCTGTATTCCGTTCCTTTAACCCCTCTTGATAAGTGTGTCTTTTAAGAAAGGGGAAAAGAAACCTGGAAAGTAAAAGAGCACAGAGTAAAAGAGAGTTCATGAAAGATTTTAAATCAAGGGTCAAAATGTCTTACTTGCACAGTGCACAGAGTGAATTGTATTAGTAAATAAACTAATGAAATTAGGACTAGGATTAGATAGAAGATTATAAAGTTGGACCAGAGTCAACCGATGTTTTAAGAACTTATAATACTTAATACTGTAATACTTACTCTCTTCCAGTGGAGCGTCCAGGGCTGGGCTGCAGGGAGCTGGTGGTAAGAAATCTGACCAGTCTGGTGCCGGCAATCAGCAATGATGTAACCGACTGGCTGGTAGCCACGAGGGTCAGGGCATCACAGTTGCTCTCTGTGCTGCTGCTCCACGCTGAGGACCACTGCACTCAGTACCTTCAGCCTCTGCTGGCCACAGTCTACAAGGCCTGCACTGACTCAGAGAAGGACGTGGTCAACAATGTGGGTTTGAGAAGGAACAAGGGCAAGGCTTTTTTTTTTTTCACAGTGATGAGTAAACAGCCATGTCTAAATATATTACATTTTCTGACACACAGAAAAATACATTTTATTGCCATAAAACTGTTCAGAATTAGTTTTTAAGTGAACTAGTTTGCCACACTTAGGTTAGGTTATTTTGCAGAAGTTCTTTTTTTCGTGAAGGAACATGAAAATGTAGACAAATTTTTTTTAGGAAATGTATTGACATTGTAGTGTAATGTCAAGTAATATCTTGTGTTTTTCTTCCCTCTCTCTCCCCACATCCAGTGCCTGTCTGCTGCAAAGCTGCTGGGCATGTTTGTTCCTCCATCAGTCTTTCTCAAGCTGCTGTTGGACCATGTGACATCACCCTACTCTTCCTCCCACCCCTGGTGCCCTCTGATGGTGTTGGCTTGGGTGCTGGACGGCTGCCCCCAACCCCTCCTAAAACCACATCTTGAGCAGATCGCCAGCACACTGGCCCAGCCCGATGTCTGCCAGGAATATCAGCAGGTCAGCAGAGGGTTGCATGGATTTGTTTTGGGGTTGTACCGTTTTTAGATTATTATTTTTTTATTTACCTGTGAATTCATCTGTGCCAGTTTATATCATTTGCACCCAATGCCCCTTTATCATCCAGAGAATATTAGTGGATTTTAGATTTCCTGAATGGGGGGCGGGGGGCAAAATGTTTATGTTAAAACATTACATTTTGGAGGTTGCGAGGTTGTATGCCATGTCTCAATTTTCCTCTTTTCATCTGTGTGCACCTCCCCTGCCCCACCCCACCCTCCACCTTGTTCTTCGGTGATCTTGGCATCGTTTCAGGTCATTTTCCACTGTGTCTGTTTACCTTGCAGCTCTTATTCTTGGCAGTGACACTGCTGTTAGAGTGTATATTTCTTGCCTAATTTGTCACTCATTGAAATGGGTTTTATGATAAGATGGCACATGTCTTGGACAGGTTTTCAATAGCCGTACTGTACAGAGTAGGTTCAGCGAGTTCTCACTCGTTGAGCAATTCTCCAAAATGCTGACCTGGCTAAAGTTGCCGTCCAGCCTGATGCTGTTTTTTATATTTAACATTTCAAGTCTATGATCAGAACCTCCCTGTTCACACACCACTGTAAGATATGACCCCATCATGTCAAATCTCACTTGTTTTATTTAAAAAAAAACATATAAATTATTCAACATGTCTTTAATGTTCTCCAGCAAACAAGTGTCCACCCCTGGAAAAAAAATCCCACAGACTCTAAATCAGTATCGTTCCTGCTTCCTGTTCTTATATGTTTTCCTCCCAGAGTGAAAAACAGTTGCCAGGCAGGGAGCTATTTTCTGATCCCGCTGCCCTAGTGACACACCTAACCCATGACCCCACCACCTCTCACTAAAGCAAGCAAGAATTTCCTCCCTAGGATTATACTAACAAAAATCTACAAATTTCACCTGACCCCTGCGTGGTTCGTGTGACCCTTGGGAGAAGGCAGAGCAGGGAGTTGTCTTTGTCCTTTTTTATAGCCCTTTGTAAGGTCTCCGTACCGGACTGTGGTTCAGTCCCACCATTCAAACGATCTCTGAAATTTCAAAGCCCGCCTGGTCAAGGCTAGTGATAAATGGGTCGAGAAGTTGACCTCTTTCTGTTTTCTCTTGCTGCCAACCGACGGGGTCAACCAGACACAGAACTAACAGGACGGGACAGTCACATGTTGTCACACAGATGGAGGCAGACCTCTGTTTCCTCTCATCTGTTTCTCCATTTTTCTCTCTCTGTCATCCCCTCACTTTCTGTCTCAGAGGTCAGAACACAGAGGGTTTGATTTAAGCACTCGCCCCGACATAGCACCTGCAACATTCTTCGACAACAGGCAGGGTTCATGGCAGGGAGCAGGAGCACATTAGTTTGTAGCTGTAAATAGCAGCCCTGGAGACAGAAGCACCTGCATCCCGCTTTCTCTTTGTGGTGAAATGCTGACACAGACCGCTGTGCACTTACTATCTACACCGTCGTCTGCAGGCATAGAAAACCAAAAGCAAGTAATGGAAAATAATAAAAGAAAATGTGCAGTGGAATTGTATAATTTGAAACTGTTGAGATCTGAACTTTGTTTGTAAAATTCACGTGTGCCTCTGTGTTGCTGCACAAACTTTTTCATTTTTTAAATCCCACTTCATGGGAAAATGTAGTAGTGGGTCAGTCTTCGCTATCTTGAAGAATTAATTAAAAAACAGTAGCTGCTGGATTCTGAATGCAGGGAGATGATCATTATTTTAGTTTAGTGAATAACACTGATAAAAAACATAGCAAATTAGCCTAACCTGCTGCAGTCAGTAGTAACGATGTAAAAAGTAAAAGTGCACAAGCTTAATGGTATCCATCGTTACATAACTTACAATTATCCAAATGATAACTTCCAATTTATTAGACAGAGTAACTTCAGTACGCTGTCTTTGTGTGATAAGGTTTCTCAGGACAGATATTTATACCTGGTCTGAACTGGGCCTAAGGCACATCTGAGCTCTGAAAGTATGTGGATTCCACTTGAGAGTTGTGTACCAGTTTAACCAGAGGCACAGAGAGGGAAAAAAAGGTGCAGTTTGACTTGGACAAACCGAGGCCTGTTAAGAAATGAATTATAAATAATCTTCAAAGTTAACAGAGGTGCAGGGAACTGCAAGGCTCAGTGGGGACTTCTGGGAAACAACCTGAAGATTTGGAAGCTGATATATGATTCCTCAGCACGACCTGACCTCACTGACTCTTTCAAGTCCCTGTTTTCTTTTCTTTATTTTAGGAGCTGGGGAGAAACGATCTGACAAAAATAGATGTCAACTGCCGAGAACAAAATAAAAAATATTGGTTATAAATCAAAAATGATTTTGTAGCCTTGGGGTAAATGAAATAGCAGTCAATGGTAAAAAAAAAAAGGCACAGTTTTCTGAAGAACCCTTTCTATTTTTTAACGGGGTGTTTGCTTATGAATCACTTGTGCGGCGGGGGGGGGGGGGGGCTTCTTCTTAAAAAAGACGTTTCACAGAGAATTCTCCAACCACCCTCGTCTTGTCTTACACACCTTAACACCAGTGAGCATGGCTGTGTTGTGAGTTTCTATGGCTGCGCTGGAATCACAACATCTCTGACCTTGCTGTTGTTACTCTGCCCATAGAAAGCATGTTAAAAAAAACGATTTTAAGAAGTGAATCTCTCACAGCTTGATGATGTTGACCGTTGATAAGAACATCACCTTCTGGAGGGGTAATAATTTAAAACGTTTATGTTTAATTCTAGGTCACTATTATATTTTAAAAAGTAACATTATACAATTGTATAATTACAAGAAATAGAGCTTCTCAATAGATTAAAAAACTGGATAAATTAACAAAAGCGAAACAAAAACACTTCTATTATCTGCCAATAGCTGCTTAAATAAAAATGAATTATTATTTATTTTTAACTCAACGAAATCTTTATAAGTCGGCCTCTGTTAGTCGTTTTACACCAACTATAGTCAGGGTATTAAGGTGAGCTGGAACTAATTCTTGTTGATATCTAGTGATAACTGAATCACAAAGAGAGATTGACAACAACACACGAAACATCTATTCAAGGTTAAGGTTAAAAATTTCAACTTAACTTTGACCTCAATCTGCATGATTTTCCTGGTGCGAAAGTAAATTGAGTTTGACTTATCTTGCAGTTTACCTTCAGCAATGAGGTTCTTGCTGTTAAAGACAAAATCTACTTGTTACTGTTTTAGATACACAAGGTAACATAGGGCCTCTTATTGGCTGAAGCCACCTCGGGTTTGACCGACAGAAGCCCAGAGGAAGCAGTGAAGGAGCAGGAAGGCTTGGTCTCCTCTCGTGTTTTCTCTATGTGGACAAAGTTCACAGCGTCACGTTGACTCTTCTGCTGAACACGCATGAAGAGTGACAGATACACGCTGCCCAATGATTTAGTGACGGACAGATAAAACAGGGAGAAGAAAGGCAGGGGGGGCAAACTTTGACTGAGTGCAAGGGGTCGACATCACGTCTCCCGTCGCTGTTTGTTTTCTCAACGCCTTGGCAACTTCAGAACATCAGTAGCTATGAGGGGTAGTGCCTATGACATGCATGCATGTACATATGTGTGTGAGAGGCTGTGTCTGTGTGTGTAGTTGGTGTTCATCCAGTGGACAGCTCGGCACACATACATGCACACTGTAGGCCTCTGAAGCGTGCCTCGGCCACGGAAACCAGGTGTCTCACTCTGCTCCAGGTGTCCACCTAGTCATTACACTGCAGCACTTTTTCCTACTGCCTCCCTTTTTTCCCTCTTTTCTCTCCCCTTCCATCTCCGATGGTCATTTTCTGTCCATGTTAAACACATCATTGGTCTGTGTACAGTAATACGTGCACGTGCAACCACTTCCCTCCAGCTCCCGATGGTTTAAATGAGGTTTTTCCTCCATTGACGACTACTTAAACTCATTCACACGTGTGGGGAATGAACACAGCACCTATGTGTGAGTGTTTGGACTAATGTCCCTTGGACCAAATGAGGACAAGCTGTGGTTGTTCAGAGCTGCAGAAATGTTTAAGTAGCATTGAAATAAAAATCCTCGGGGAAATGTGTTAAAACACTTAACACTGGATCGAAAATGCATGTAGATGTGTCGCGTCTTTCTTCCAGCATCTGCTCAAAACTCAGGAAAGGTCAGGAAAACAGGGACATTATTACATCAGTCTTTTTAACTGAACCTTTTTAGCTTTTCTTCCTTTCCTTCTCATTGTTATGAACATCTTAATTTTAGTTAACAATTTAATTTTTTTTATTTTTAACCAGCTGTTTGGTTTGGTAATTACAGTACGCCCCCTAGTGATACACTTTTAAGTCACTGATTGGTTAGCTGAGGGTGTTAGTGTAGATTGAAGAGGTATTGCTAACAGACACACACACACACACACCAAAGTGGCCCCTCCCACCCACTCCAGAGCAGCCATAATGACAGGCCGCGAGAAAACAGGAAAAGAGGCTGTGGTCGCACTGATGGCATGGAAATGAGTCTGAACCGCAGGTCGTTGTCTAAACATGAGCTCACCACAACACTGGATGACAAGTGACAGAAATCTGACACACACTCTGTCTTAGGGATGGAAATGTGGTTCTTTTTTAACCTGGTACAGACTTGGTAGATTTGTGTTATATTTTATTTTTAATATAACATTTGTTGGAAAAAACACTAACCTTTTTTCTAAAACTAAAAGTATTTTTTAGTTTAGTTAATCAAAATGCTAGTATAATATATTTTATTTAAAAATATATATTTTTTGCAAAAGAAAAATAGACATGTGCATATTTAAAAATCCAACCATAGATCAAGGTTTTATGACAAATAAAAATTCCAAATGGCTCTAAGAAAAAAAAAGTAGTCAGTTAAGAGTAAAGGAAGCAGATATTTTTTTCTCTGGAGGAAAAGGTAAACACTTGAGTTTTTACTGCTGACACTTAATGTGAAATCACTTTTACTGAATTTAAACCAAATCTTTCTCCCAGGGATCACATCTGCTATAAAAGTGCAAAGATCTTCTTATATTGCTCCTTTCTCTCCCCTACTGTTCCAGGTTGTGTACTTGGACCAGCTGTTGGCCTGTGTGGACATTCTGCTGCGTCAGTGTGAGTCAGACTGTGGCTCAGTCAGCCTACAGCTCCTGCAGGTGCTGGTCAGTGTCCAGAGTCTGTCGACTGATGCACCGCTCAATGAGAAGGTAAAACAATACAGGTGTACAACAGGAAGACACAGCTCCATGTTCCACCCTTTTCCTTCCTCCTGCATTACCTAATTTTTAACAATTTTTTTCCCCTTCAATTTTCTTTTTTCCATCACATTTTATGAGAAAGGTAAACACGTTTTATGAAGCAGACCAGCTATTCCAGGAATGTAAGCATTTGTACAGGTTCAAAGTAGGCATGGCTAACTGTATAATTACCCACTTAGCCAGGGTATCTGAAATTGCCCCTCTAGAGTGGAACTTTAAATCTAGTCTTGGGTGAAAGGAGGCGGTGAAAGGGCGAATGAAGAGAAAGACCGACACAGACGGGAAGGTTTAAAAAAAATACATTTGGAGACATGACTTGTATTTTTCAGCAGGTGTGTCATCACTGTTGTCACGCAGTTCCCTAAAACCAATATGTATTTAAACAAGAATTCATGTTGCGGTCAGTGTCCAGTTACTGAAAGACAAACAGGAAGAGTGACAAGTGAAGGCAGCAGAGTCTGAGGGCAGCGTGTCGCCGAACTTCATGTCGCCATCGGAGGTTAATGACAGGGAGAGAATTGGGAAAGATTTGGCACTGAAAGCCAGCCAGGCACCACATGGGCCACCAGTGTATGCACGGGCTTACGTTTGCCTGCTGATGTGCACAAACGAGGTTGGGGAAGAGATGGCTTAAGGCAGAGTGGGAGGGTGAGAATGGCCTTGGGCATTCCTCGGCACGGAGGAAAAAGTCAGACTTGTTTTCCCAGAAAGGGGGCACGTCTTTCCCATCAGAGGATGGCTCAGAGTTGTCTCGCTCTCCTTTGAAGGGGCCAATTTGTGAGTCAAAAAATTTCTGTCCCTGTCTGTCCCTGAGGGACAGTGAAGGAAACTAAGATGTGCTCTATAAGTCTGTTAGCCTGCCCTAATTATTTATTTGCCTATCTCTCACTCCTGCCCTTTCCTCTTAGCTCGGGTTTATTGGGGTTCATGTGTGTTTGTTTGAGTGTGTGAGTGCGTGTGTGTGTTTTTGTCGGTTCCTGTGCCTTTGTGACATCCTGTGTTTTTGTCCATTTGTTTCTGTTGTTTTTTATGACCCTGTCATGTCCACAGTGTTGTCCTTCCCATGGTTTTCACATGCAGCTCCCATCAGGGCTCCACACTGAATTTGATAGAAATCCTAAAAATAACTACAGATTCATACAAGCCCATTTTGAGTGAGCACTGGTGTTGTGTTCATTGAGTGGTAGTCAGAGATGATAATGTTGACAAGTGGAGAAAAAACAACCTAGCTGTGAGTCATGTAGCTTTAATAATGCAGTAATGTGAAAGGGAAATAGTGTCTGTGTGGGCAGGAAATAATCTTCAAAGATCAGTGTCTAACTTGTTTTTGTGGCATAAGATTGAACAATGTCAAACATTGAAATTACAAAATGTTGTACAAGCACAGTCAACTCATGGATCTGGGCTTTTAAAACTGCCCCTTCTAATGGGTGAGAGGAGAATTACATGTTCTGTGTTTCTTAACTGTTTCCTGTAATTCTTGCTGTTTCCTTCTTTTACGTGCTTATTTCTTCTTCTTTGGTTGACTTTGTTGCACTTTTTAGGATTTAAAACAACGTAAACTGTTTATTGTTCCCTCTCTCTTTTCCTCTCCAGGCCTTGGACAGCATACATTGCTTGTGTAAGGTGCAGGGCCTGGACTCCGTGACAGATATCTACAGACAACATATGGCCCAGCTGCTGGACTGGCTGTCTGCCTCTGTCAACACCTGGTCCTGCTGCTCTCTGCCGAGACTCCAACTGCATGTCATAGTCGTCCAGTCAGGTGAGAAGTAAAGCCTGGATGTGGATTTCACATTTCTCGCTTCAAAAATAACACTACAGTAAACATCAGAAAATGAAAAAAATATCGCAGCAACAATGAGGAAGCTCAACGTGTTGTTTGGCCTCCTCGTGTTCTGGACTGTTGGGTTAGACCAGTAGTTCTTATTTATTTTCTGTCATGCGCCCCCTTGAGGACAGAAATGTTTTCACGCACCCGCCCACTCCAACTCACACCTCTGCTAATTGAAATACTATTGCAAACCTGATGACATGTATATTTTTATTAGTACAAACCACTGTATGAGTTGCTGCCACCTAGTGACTGGAGGCTTGTTAGCATTCTATTTGAGAAGTACTGGGTTAGACATTGATTGCTGTGAGTTTGGACTGCAATGGTGTATTTAGAGCGTTAATTCTTATTTCAATTGAATAATACATATTAAAATGATATTTTTTGATATTTTGACATAGCATTTATATATGCAGTGGGTCACTGCATTATAAAGATTCTTGTGATAGAAAGTTGCCACTTGACGAAATCTCTTTGATTCAACAATGATTTTTCAATTGTCCATTTTTAATCAATATGAGCTTTAAAAGACGTGAATTTGTTGCCTTCAGGGACAACTGGCCAGATGTATTTAAAGACGGAACAAGCTAATAGCCCTCAGAAAAACATTACCGCCAGCAGTCAGTTCAGTGACTTGTGTAAATCCTTGTCTGTCCATCAGCTTTGTAGTCAGTCAGCGTGTCTCTGACTGTGTGTGCGTGTCTCTGTCTCTAGTGATGGGATTTTCTTCACCTCCCTTTATACCATATAATCCTCCATCATCAGCACCAGCCTGTCTCACACTTTCATCTCCTCCACCCACCCTTAACCCGACCCCCCTTTTTTGTCCTATCTCTCTAATTGACTAGGCAGCTGGACACACAAACACAGACACACACAAACACAACAGTAATACACTCTGTTAATGTGACTATGTGAAACCTGAAGCTAATGTCTTAACCCTTTGTCTTAACCCATATTTTTGTCCCTTTGGGTCAGTGTGTGTTCACATAACAAAAAGTTATCAAACACATTCACACACACTCTCCCAGCTAACTGACCATTCCATTTTAGGTGCACTCACTAATCCCTGTGCAGGTCACGACATCAAACAACTCTCCAGCCACTCGCTCTTGACCTTACCCTGGATCAAGGCCACTTTGAAGCTCAGGGTGTGTGTGTGTGTGAGAGAGAGAGTATTGACTCTATCTCCTCAGGTCTTAACATGACATCTTTTGACTGTTAACACAATCCAAGGTCTAAAGCCTTGTCAGTAAAACAGTTGGTATGCGGTCCTTTTCATTTTTAATGTGTGAATATTTCCAGGAAGTTGTCTGTGTGCAGAACAGTCGTCAGCTGCTAATTTGACAAACCCAGAGTCGGCAGTTTTGCCCACTCATCAGCTCTTCACGCACTCCGTCTGTGTTTGCCTGGGACAGGAACAATTACTCGTCCCTCACATCCTCTCGTCTGTCTTTTGTTCTGCAGCTGGTGTGAGAAGGTCTCATCGTTTTGTCCTTAAACTGCCACAGTCTGTGATTTGTCTGTGTTTGTGGTGGCTCTCTGTGGCTCCCCGTTCAAGGACAGGATACACACTGACAGTCATGCCTTGTCACTGGAGTCGCTGTGACGGTCACTGGAATTAGTGACCTGTCCTGTCACGTCCATGGGACAATCTTCAGACCTTCAGAGGTCGCCGCCAGATTAAGTGACACACCCTTTGTTTCACACATTCCCACTGGATGATCCTTCACTTCTTCTTCTGTGTCTTTATCTCACTTTGTTTTCCTCTATCTCTTTATGTCCACCAACGCGGGGCAGCTGCAGGATTTCCTCTGTCTCCTCTTACGTCTGTACAATTGAGTCCAAACAGGGCACGGACACTTATCGCCCCTGACACACACAGACACACACACACGTACAGACAGACAGATTGTTAAATATAGCTCTGTAAACATGTAGTCAGACTGTAGGTGGACGTCTGTGTGTGAGGGCATCATTGTAGGTGGGAATGGTTGCACAGTGAGTTTTTCATTTTCCTGTAATAAACACGAACACGTCTTGTCACACAGAGGCCTGTTTGTGTGTCATTTCCTGTGAGTCGTGTGTCACCGTCTCACCAGTCCACCGACGTCTGAAAAAGACAAGTCCTCTGGTCAGCGCTCAACACGGAATAGATCCTAAATTTGTGAGCACTGACAAAGAGAGTAGGAATTAAGATAATGAGAAGCATCCTCTGTCTGAAACAGACACGGCTCACTTTGTAATTGTTGGTATTCAGTGGTTGGACTGAAACTGTCTGGTAACAGATTGAATTAAAGTCAAATGACAGTTGATTTGGGCAGTAATACTATAGCATCAATGTCTGTCTGTGTGTGTGTGTGTGTCTGTTTTTACAGGTCCAGTGATTGGTGAGTTTCTGCACCAGCTGATGCCCCTGCTGCAGACCTGCCTCCAACCAGACAGGGAACCTGAAATGAGGCTGAGCACCTTCACAATGCTGGCAAAGCTGCTCGTGGATGCAGGCAACACACTGGATTCACAGGGGTGAGGGTTAGATACACACACACACACACACACACACACACACGTTATCACACAGACACACACAGGCTTCAAGTGATTTTACAACACGATGCTGTAAATACTTCACTCAGTAACAAAACTCCCAAAAATGTCTTCCCTTTAATCACTGCTTTCCATTTAATTTTTGCTGATGTAATTCTTTCATTTTAACCTGCAAATTATCAGGTGTCAAGGGAGCGTGGCTATAATGACAGACCAGGTCTGTATAGTTGCCATTTACTCAGGTAGTCAATGAAAGACTTACAGCCTACTGTGATATAATTATTGGTAGTACACACGTGGTCCTAATGTTTTTCCCCCATGAGTTTTTTATAGATAAAATAAAACTTCCTGTCAGTGTGAGTGAATCTCCACGGCCATGTTGATCAGCTGTGATCAGCTGACTCTAATGACTGAACAACACAAATCACAGTTCATTCTTACTATGAGCTATAAATTACTATGAATTCTTACAATCTCCGGTGGTCCACACTGACCCGCCTCCACCCACCAGGTTCCCCTCTGATTCCTCAGCTGTGCAGTTTTCTGCCCAGGTTCACAGCTGTAATCTGAGGGAATGCATTAGGACAGAGGCCCATCCTGGGGCCTGCGTGACGACGGCAGCTGCTGCTGTCTGTCACAAAGACAAACCTCGTCCAAAGCGTTGCCACGGTTACATCACTGCAGCATGTCACTTAACCCCACAGCCAACAAGTCAGTAAGGGTTACTAGATGTTTCCACCGGATAATACAATACTACATGGCTGCTGGGTTCTTATCCCTGGACTGTTTTTGCATAAACAACAGAAAATGTCTTTGAGCTCAAATGCAATACCACCTTTGGCAGTGAGAGTGAAATTAGAACTTTTGCTTTTTCATCAGACTCCCAATAATTTTGCCCATAAATGTTCTTTAATAGACAAAAGAACTCTGTGTCTCTCCCCCTCACTGACAACATGACCACCTGTGTTGCTGCATCTCCTGTGATCCCAGGACTGTCAGGGCAAAGACATCGTGTTACACCTTCAAAAGATTACCAGCTAATGCTGAACTTACACAATGTGGTTTTTCTGTCATTTACCATAATGTTTCCATTCATATGCATCTGATCCCTTCATTCATGATATGCAGCCTCATCTCTCAGCAGTCCTCAGCCCACACACACACACGCGCACATGCTGTGTCATCAAGAGGACAATTATAGTCGTAGAGAAAAACCTCGGCCTTTGTTCTGCAACCAAAATGACATAATGACAGCTCCACTGCAGGGTGAGCAGAAAGGGAAAGTAGGCCTGTGTTTCTGTGCCTTTCATTCACATGCTCACATAATGTTTTTGTTTCATGTGGAATCCCGTGCTCTGATTAAAAAGTAGGAAATGAAATGTAAGTAGAAGGTGTAAGATATGAAAGTTCATACTTTTTATTCCCCATATGTGGCAGACCACAATCACGTGCCACTTACAAAATAAGATAAAAGTCTGTGCTTTTCTGTGCATGTGTGAACAGCACGATGCATCTTTAGTCTTCAGTCTTAAATTTAGCCTTTAAAAACATGAAACAAGAAGAAAAAAAGAGCAGCGGGGGAACATATTCTCTCTTTCTTCCAAATGTGGTTTGGACTTTCTCAGGAATTTCTGAGGATCCAGGCTTATTATTCTCTAGTCACAAAATAAAAGATCAGATCCAATATTTGTAAAAATATTAGTTTGATTTATTATTGATTGATTGATTTAAATTATTTACAAAAAGAGGATTCAATCAGTTTATGAAAATAAAATATTACAATAATATATACAAAATTCTTAAATATATAATAGGGTTTGTACAGGTTTGTACATATGCATAAGCTAAATGGTAGCTTATAATAACCAAAGATCAGTTGCTGAAAGTTAAAGTAAAATGTACAGTTTGTACGTATAGAGATGCAGTTTATATACAATATATGTATATAAATACCGTATATATATACATATATATAAAGTTACAAATTAGATACATAGGAACGTTGATAAAAGTTTGTAATTGTTCATAATTAATCATATATATATGATATATTATAATTATTTATATCATTTTGTCATTTTATCACCTGAACAGATGGAATCACTTATATTGTCATATTATTATGAAGATTTTCTTATGTGGGAGTTACAGAAGAAAACTTTTTTCCCATGAAATGATTAGTCAACATTCTTGTGTGTGTGTGTGTGTGTGTGTGTGTCAAGGTAAAACCCTTGCCTTATTGTCCTTGGAAATCTTCCCTGTAATGTGGAACTCTGTCTTTCCATCATCTGGCGTCATTCACCAGCAGCTTTCAACACTTGTCAAGATGGAGAAACCGAACTAAGTGTACACCAGCCAGTCCTTCAGCTGCTTTAGTGTCACGCTTTCGCCCCCTGCTGGCCTTATACTTTCCAGCACACCCCATTAAACATATGACAAGTTTATTATGACACCAGCTGAGCAGCCAGAGGTTAGAGGCAGCTTCCAGATCTCGTGTGAGGACAAAGAAATTCAAGAGTTGTGCAAGGTTTTTTTATTTGGGTAGTTATGGAGAGGATGTCACAGGACCTACGCCAGCATGGAAAACAGAGAAGGTTCTGGAGAAGGGACTGGAGAGCACCCAGATGTTGTAGTCCCCTCCTCCAACTCCCCCGCCCCCCTACCATCCCATCTGCCTTTGAAAAAGTGTGGGAAAATAACTGCAGCACAGGCGTTGTGTTACATTTTCTTATGACTTGAAGACCCACTGTCCAACAGCGAACTTCAGCCAACGTACTCTACAACGTGAATGTGTTTCTCTGCGGCTGATGTGTATCTCTGTATCATTTGACCCTCTGTCTTCTCTTAGGCGTTTTTGTGACGAGGCTGAGAAGTTCCTGTGCGATGTCCTGCTTCCTAATCTAGTGTGGCGGGCGGGGAGAACCGCTGGTGCCATCAGAACTTCAGCCCTCAGCTGTCTCCTGGCTCTGCTGCACGGAGGGGCCATCACACCTGATCTGGTAACAGAGTCACACCATTATACTTTATCACACGACTCTCAAGACCTCGGGCATGGACCCGACCCTGAATATGGCCTTGTTGCTGCCATGAATGGTCTGAAAACAAATAAAGAGCAGAGAAAAATAACGATAACATTTATGATGTCTGAGCATAAATTTGGGCAGGTGTATACATTTACTATATCCTCGTTATTGTAGCAAATACAGGGAGTTATTCTTAACAACACATTTGATTTGTTTCACAGGGATCCTGGGTAGTTTTAAAATAAATTAAATTCAAACCTGGTTTTTAGACCTGTCCCTGGAACCTGTCACGGGTGGGAGGAAAACGAGTGTGGATGTTAAATCATGCCCTGCGCCCTGGCTGAACATGTCCAACAGCCTCGCCTTCTGCAGTTTAATATATGAAGTGAATGTACACACCTGCCTAATACTTTTGCACAGTTATATGTATTTTCAAATAACAAGTGAATTGGGGAATCCCAGACTGTGTTTCCACCTGTGAAAAGGAAGGGAAGTAAACACCCAATGCAAACTTCCTCCACTTGTATGTCTCCCTGACCTCTATAGTGTTGAGCTGCCTTTTTTTATTGACTCAGCTGTAAAGGGACTGCAGCGCTGCAGCATTCCTCTGAGCCATCAGGAGTTGACATTCACTTGAAATATTCTGTTTTATCCATTTGACAACAAAACAGACGGTCCCTCTTGGTCTTTTAGAAAAATGTGTTTTGGTCCATCACTCTCTCTCTTTCTCTCGCTCTCGCTCTTGCTCTCGCTCTCCTTGGCTGCAGGAGTTGGCTGCAGCAGGTAGCAGGTGTACCAGAGGTCAAGTGCGTTCACATACCTTTGTCGCTGAGAAACAAAGCTCCCAGTATGTTGAGTTTGTGTTATACTTGTCTGTAGGAACTATCAGAGACAGGGCTGTGCACCTGCCTGTCGGAGGATATGTGCCCAGTTACAGCAAGTATGCTCAAACATCTGGCCCGTGTTTGCCCTCGCGTGCGCTGAGTGACCAGTTAAAACCAGCTTTCAGCCCCCGCCCCACCCCATTTACACTTGCATGTCTATGACTGCATGGCTAAGCCAGTGGCTAAGGAACAGTGGGATTTTGGTTGTTGCTGTGCAAAGTTTGGTATGTGGTTAATTTTTTTTAATTTTTACAGACCCTTCATTGGAAGCTGTCCTTGTAGAATTTAGGCTATAGAAGATACAAAATAAACAGCATGTATTGGCAACTTTGACAGCAGAAAGTTTTGAATGTGTTTTCACAGATTATTTGAACACATTGTTTCCTCGCTGGTCCCTGTGAAAACAATTATCAACTCTAGTTACACTTGGCATCCTCAGAGCAGCAGTGATAAAATGTCTGGTCACCACTCTGCCAAAACGACCCCTGCTCATTCTCTCCTTGTCTCCGTGTAGCCCTTCTGTACCCTGTCTTTTCATTCCTCCATGACATGTGTGGGGTTTTAAAGACAAACAGACCGGGGGAGAAGGAGGGGTGACAGAGGTTTTTACCATCACCTGTTGGCCTATCACTGCTGGCTGTTAGCCCTTCGTGTCGTAATTGTCCGTTTCCTCTGTGTAATGAGTGAAATAACATTCATCCTCACTGGGCTTCTGCAGCATGGGCTCGGTGCCCGTGTTTCTGTACACAGGGAACCAGACCTGTTGTCCATCTGCCATGCTTCAGGTGATATTTCACTTCAGGCTGAAACGAAACTCCAGTTCACACAAATATTTGAGGGACAACATGTAAAAGTTATCTTGTTGAAGTTTGTGTAGTCCTGTGGGTTTTACTGTTGTGAACTGAGGTGTGTAAATTAATGGGAAGCACACATTTTGAGAGGGTTGTGGAAAAATCATAGATGCGGAACTTGGGAGCAACCAAGTGCTGAAGCACAAAACATCTCAAAGAAGAATGGTTTATCTCATGTATGACGTGAGATATTAATAATGTCAAGTATTTAAGTTCAGGAAAATGAATCAGGTTCATTAACACCAGTAAATAATATAAATCTGGAAAAGCTAACTTTATTTATACTAACTATAAATGTAGCTTTGGCAGAATTTCATGTAATAAAATATATTTATAGTTTTATTTATTACAGGGGTGTGGAGTCTGTGGTGTCTGAGCCACATGTGGCTCTTTAGCATCTTTGTGATGGCCCTCTGCAATGGAACAGATGTAGCCTGACCGTGATACACTAGACCAGTGTTATTAGCAGAAAAGAAGGGACTGTGATATTTTACAAAAATTACATTTTACATGTGACACTAAAGTAAACTAAGCTAAAAGTAAAACAAAATTATGTTACTGATGTCTTAACTCAAGGTCAGGTGTGCTGTTTCTATGTGCAGCATATGTTGTTGACCCCCAGTCACTGTTTGTGACTGCAGTGAGTGTTTTAATACAAAATATTCACTGATGTTGTGTTCGAATTGGATCATTACCTCATGTAGAAACCTGGGTTTGGTTTATCCAGGGGTACAAGTCAAACTCGTTTTTTTTTCTGTTTTGTTTTCAGCTGCTGAGTCTTGAGGAGAAGCTCAGACCAACGCTGTTGTCGTCCCTGGAAGAACACTCTCAGATGAGCAGGCTGTTTGCTTGTCGCTCTTTGTCTACAGTGCTGAGACTCATAGGAAACAGACTGCACTGCGAGGCCTTCAACAAGATCTACCCTGGTAAATGATAAACAAATACGGTTAAAGACCACAATGTTTTCTTTAGTTCTTATACTAAACACATGCTTTCAAAACAGTCTACATAGTAAATAATTGAAGAAACAGCATAGTACACTACCCTTGTTTGTTTTATTATTCGTATCCCAGACAGCCATATTGTCACCCTTACCAGGATTTTGTCAAATTCTTTCTCGTGTGTCTGTGTCTCCATGACAGAGCTACTGAAACGTCTGGACGACAGCAGCGAGGAGGTCCGTGCTGCTGCTCTGCAGGCCCTGGGACAGTGGCTGTCCAACCTGAGCAAAGACTACGACCCTGAGTTCATGGTGTCTCATCTGCAGCTCCTGTTCCAGCAGCTGCTTCTGCACCTGGATGACCACGAAGCCTCAGTTCAGGAAAATGTGTTCGGTAAGACTGAACACTTTGTTTGAACCAACGACTGAGGAGATGAGAACTGCGTGGTGATGGTTTTTGGATGTCCAATGGGCCAAATGCCAACACATTCCCCAGTTTGTGTAGTTCTCCTTTTTTTTGCTTCTTCCTCCTGGGGCCTGGATTCAGGTGACTCTCCAGTGAAACACAAGATCCAGATAATTCTCCTTCACATCCGTACACAGTGGTCCCAGTTAATGCCAACCACATGGGTGGGGGCCCTCACCACCTTTTCTCATCTGTCAGCATGCCCATCCCACCTAATCCCTCCGTCTTTTATCTGTCCATTTCTCCATACTCTGTAGCTTCATGCTTGTGTTTTTTGTTCATGCATCAGAGGAATGTTTGAGAGTCTCCTCCCAAAGTGTTTGACCAGGAACCTTCTGTCTCTGGACTCCCACTCTCTCCCACTCTTGTGGATGCCTGCTGTCATTGCCTCTAACCAGAGAACCAGAGAATCCCTACCTCACTACTGGATATCTGATTTTTAATTTTAGTTTTTGTTCATATTTGTTGCACTGTGTTGCAAATATAGAGTTGAATTTAAAAAGAATTATAAGTTGAAAAAATGTTTTTGTTAGTCAATTCTTTACAATTTCTACACTTTGGAATTCCAGATGATCCCACGTGGGGTCGCGAACCCAAGGTTGAAAAAAAACCTACCTCTGTCAGTCAGCTGTCGAACGATCTTCAAAGCAATAAGGAGCTTTGATATCATAAATATTTTATATTGGCTATTGAACCTGCTGTTATCTTGTCTGTGGAATGACACACAACAACCCACTATAGGAACGAACCTCAGTCACTCAGTGCATTAAGGTGAAGCAGGTGGAAATGACTGATTTTAGAGTCATTTCCTGCCTGTCTCATGCCACAGTGTGCATCTCATGCCAGTTTCTGTGTGCGTCCAAGATGACTCTAGTAACATGGCATTAGTAGTTATACTGCAAATCTGTTTTTTATTTGTCAGTAGATCCCCTTGTAAAGGAGCAAAAGCAAGAATATTTATTTGTTCTGTCTCTGGACTCACTTCAGCAACACTGAGCCTTTTGGCATTGTTGTTATGTTCATTCCCCTGTATATTTCTCTAGCAATTGAGTTAATTATTACTCCTGGCTATAAATTACTAAAGATAACATTGGCTGCCCCAAATACTAAATTTTAGCAAACCTGTGAAAAAATAAATTAAATTCTTGTAATATTTTCAGTTCGCTCATAACATAGCATTTAAACGTTAAATCAATATACTAAACAAAGACTTAGAGTGAGTTTAGAGAAATTAACAGATGATTTATTTTCACAGACAGGAAAATGTTCATTGAAATCATATGAATAACAGAGAGATTGTTTCTGCCTCATCTACAGATACAAGTAAAGACACAAAGATACAAACACAACCCTTGGGTTGTGTCCGTGGAGTCCCTCATGTGACATGAGATGAGCTCACATCCTGCTGAGTGATCGTCTGTATCTAACAGCGCCCATATCTGTCTGTGTCATCAAAGTGGAAACAATCCTCCTGAGTCTTTTTGAAGCTTTCTCTCATTTTCCCCTCCACGCTCCTTCTGCCTTTTTCTCTTTGTTGCTTTAATCGTTGATCCCATTCTTATGCTTCTTATATTTCAAACGCATATCTGCGAAGTGCCCTAATGAAGGCAGCATGTCCTGACAGCATGACGGAAAACACTGCCACCCTCCTCCTCCTCCTCCTTCTCCTCCTTCTCCTCCTATTATAATGTGGTGCTGTGCCTCTCATCATTCCCTCTGTCCACCGCCCTGATAATCCTAGCGTCTTGGCAGCTGGGCTGCTACCTGCCCAATCACACAGACGGTTGGCACAGGTATCACTCACTTCACACACAAGTCGTCATTGTTCTCCTTCTAATTCAGACTTTCACCTCCCCTTCCTGTGTCCCAGCTGAGGACAGTGTACACAAAAGCTAAAAATCCCCTCCATCCCCTTCAAGAACAAAGGCAGGTATCAGATGAAGAGTTTACATGAACAAACTCCTCCAGAGCGGCTGCGTGTCACTGCCGGAGCACCACCTTCTCTTTGTGCATCTGAAGCATTTATGCATGCGAAGCAAAACCTAGTAATTCAATATACCTGTGAAAATGAGCGGACGATGTGGGAGTGATGGTACGTTTGGAAGAGATTTGTCGCCGCCCGGTGGATAATATGGGCATTGCAGAGTAATGAGTTAAGTTCAGTGCCGCATTTTAGAACCACAGCACCACATTATAATGTGGTGCTGTGGTTCTAAAATGCGGGTTTACATTCATGGTTGTTGGGGACCTCTAAGTAGTGAGTGAGACTTTTAAAATACATTTTTGTATATAAACCATTACCATTAATTTAAAAAATCCTTTATTTGAAGTTCATTGTTAAGCTGTATATTTTTTATTATGCTTTTCAATTTCTAGCCTTTTTGTGAAACAATTTATAATGAATTATTTACTTGAAGCAGTACAGATATATTTTTATTATCAAGGATACTATTACAAAGGACATTTTAATGTATATATTTATTTCTTTATTAACTTATGTGCATAAAATCTCCAAATATGTGAGACAAATAGGAGACAAGTACAAATAGACAATGTCCATTCCCAACCAAAAATGCTTTGAACTGGTTGTATATGTATTGTATGTGTCTGAATATGTAAAATGAAGGTGGTTCTGCTGATTTACCAGAGTCATTGTGTAATTATGAGTAAACCAACTAAACTCTAAGGCAGACTCCTGACTCTTGTTTGTCTTTGTGTTTCCAGAGATCCTGAAGAAAGCAGTACAGGTTCACCCTGCTCTGCTGAAGAAGGAGGTGGAGACGGTGAGGGGCGTCCAGAGGAGTCCTGTCTACTGTGACCAACTGCTGCAGCTCATCGGCTCTCAGCCCACAGACACTATTGACCTCAGGGACCAGAATCACTTGCTCCACAAAACGGGCGACCTTCATTTGGAGGGAACAGTTTCATAAACAGAAAAACCTTTGCAAGGTCAGAGTAAAAATAAACCCTGGGTCGTAAAAGGAGAAAGTGTCTGTCACACTGGTCACTGCTGCGCCAAAAAAACTGATGACATTCCAGGTCTAAGCCTTTCTTCTCTGAATAATAATCAATTAAAAGCCTTAAGAAACTAAACGGTATCCATTCTGCTGTTGCTCATTATGTTGATTTCTTTTTTAAGAGATTTTATTACTTTTTTTAGAAGGAAAAATGTCATCAGTTGTTTGTTTTTTTCATTTATTTAATGAAGAGAATCATAAAACCTGTTAAAGCTTTTTCACAGATTCTGGAGAAGATGCTGAGACTGAAAGAATGGTTTGTTCTTCATTAACATTTATATTTTGGTTAATGAAATGGTTTGTTCTTCATTAACATTAACATTTATATTTTGGTTAATGAATTGTGTGAATTAAAAATATAATAAAATACAACCGTTTTGTGATAAGAAATTTATATTTAATTTTTATGAGCACATGATGAAGTGCCCAGGATGGTCATTGGTCCTCCTTCAGGTCATGTTTCACCTTGAACCCTGTCTTAATGAGGACCTACGACGGTTTGACAAACCAAGCTGGCAGAACTCCTCATCCATCAGGTCATCCATTCTCAGAAATAATCCTTTATCTTCCTTTGTACATCCATCTTTCTATCCATCTACGTAGCCAGTCACCTGTCCTGTCTATGTTGTACAGTGCAACACTTTGTACATTTGCCCGTGCAACTATTTGGCCACCCACCTGCTCTTTTGTCAGTAATGCATCCAACATCTATCTACCCTCATCCAATGTTCTACCTATGCAATTATCCTTTCACTTTATTAGCCAATCAAACACCCTTAATGTCCATAAGTCCTTCCGTTCATCCACTATCAGTCTTGCTCTCTCTCTCTCGCTCTCTCTCTTCCTTTCTTCCTCCCTCCTTGTTCGCCTTCTCCTCCTGTTTCTCCATCCTCTTCATCCTCCTCCTCTTTCCTCCACCATGCTGCAGATGGGAGATGTGTTGCCGTGTTTCTCTGCGGTCTTTCTGCTGCTGTTATTAGGGACTAGGAGCGCCACAGGAGCCTCCTTGCTCACCGTCTTTCTCTATGTTTTCCTGATGATGTTCCGGTTCCCCCCCGTGCCTACGTACCAGGCCGGCCGAGTCCTGCGGCCCAGAGCACCTTCAGGCGGGGTCTCGGTAGTGGCTAGCCGCGGAGGCACCCACGATGCTCCTGAGAACACGGTGGCTGCGATCAGAGAGGTGAGACCCAGACACATTAGTCAGCTGTGATATGAGTCTGGTCGTTAACGTTACAGCCATATGTGTTTATATCATCCTTCATATCTGATCTGAGTAGACTCACTGTCTGAACGTAGAGTAGCAGTGAATACTGAGAAATCAATTGCATGGGAAAGATGGTAAATAGTGAAATGGTGTGTTTGCTGGTATAAAAAGCAAGCTCTGACATTATATTGAAGTTAGATTTGGAAATGCATTGGGAACACGAGTTAATTTGTTTACAGGATTAATGTAAATCTTAGCCTGAAACAGACTTAAATCTATGTTTGCTGTTAGACCTCCTGCTGCTTTAAAACTAGGAAGACTAATAGAGGTACAATTATTTATATGTAATTGTTTATCCAAATCTATATATATATATATGGATAATTTACTGATGACTATAAAGTAGTGACCTGGTGGTTGACTTGTGGTTGTATAATTTTTTTTATTCATTTGCTGTAATATGTTGGTTAATCAAAAAAGAGACAAAATAAAATAAAGATTCATGGTCAAATGAGTAATCAACCAAAAACTTTAAATTTCAAATTGAAATCTTTTCCCTCTGCAGTACCCCTGCAGGGGCCCTGGGGTAGTGGTGTTTTAAAGTACTGAATATCAATTTGTCTTTGATCACAAAATATATCTAAACACAACTACTAACGCAATAACCAAAATACTTACTATACATCAAAACATAACACACACTATGTTTCTCCCTGTGTCCCTGCATCCTGTTCTAGGCTAGTAGAAACGGGGCCACAGGAGTACAGCTTGACCTCAGCTTTACTGCAGATGGCGTACCAGTACTCATGCATGATGAGACCGTTGACCGCACCACCAATGGCTCTGGACCAGTCAACAAATTACAGATTGTCCAGCTGAGGAGATTAGATGCTGCTGCCCATCACAGACTCAAGTGAGTTCACTTCACTTTACATTAATGTTTAATTCTCTGATAAGGAATTTACAAAAACAAGACATGGATTTTTTTTTTTATCTTCAGAGACAAGTTCAGTGCAGAGAAGGTTCCTACCCTGCAGGAGGCGGTAGAGGAGTGTATAAAACATCAGCTGACCATCTTCTTTGATGTCAAAGGTCAACCAGATAAGGTGCATACCAATTAGTTTCTTTATTTTTACACCTTTTAAACACATTAAACACTATTTTACAAAGTGCAATAATAATAATGTTTTTCACATTTCCAGTCTGCTTCCGTGCTTCATCAGATGTACAAGAAATTCCCTGCTCTTTACAATTCCAGTGTTGTTTCCTCCTTCGAACCTAAAGTTATCTACAAGGTCAAATGATATTTCTTTGCAAATCATGTTTTTTTGAGCCACTGTCTGCATTAAGTTAAGTCATGTTTACTTATGTATCTCCTGAACACTTCCTGTAACACTATTGCTGAGCACTAGAGGCTTCAAAAATGTGATTCTCATTGACATGTATTCAAAGAAACGCTAATTCCTATCAGTATATTCATATGTTTAAACATTTCTTTATGTTTTCTGCCAGATTCACTTATTTTCACCACTGTTTTGTTGATCTACTAAAATCCATTCAATGTTTATAGGAGTAAAAGTGTTTAATCAGAGACCTAGATACATTTTCAACCGAGTGATTGACTATCTCTAATTAAAATGGTCATGATGAATTGTGTTAGTACTCTCACAGTACTTTCTGGTCATCCACAGATGCGTCAGACTGACCCTAATGTGGTCACAGCCCTGATCCACCGGCCCTGGAGACTGAGCCACTTTGCCGATGCCACTCCTCGGTCCCTGTCAGTGTGGGGTCAGATCTGGTTGGAGTTTCTGGATGTTTTGTTGGACTGGGCCCATCACCATATTCTGTGGAAGCTTTGTGGAGTCTCTGCTGTGCTCATCCAGAAAGACTTCATTTCAGTGTAGGTGAAAGTTGGGAGGTTATTCTGTTAATGTAGGAATATAGATTGAGAGGTTTTAGATGTTATTTGCAGAAAGATGATATTGATTGATTGAAGTTTGAGTATCAAAATCTACTAACTTAGTAAGTTGTTCTGTGCACAGTTTCTTGATGTGTGTCCTACTGTATGTCCTCCAGTCAAATCCAATTTCATTTTTTTAGGTAAAAATAAAGTGAAGATAGTTAAATATAAAAACGAAAGTATGTACATTTACGTGCAACTGTTCATACTGTGTTAAAAGCAACAGAAAACTAAAGTGCTTATGTGTATCCTCCTCCCAGTGAAACAGTTAAATCAAATAGTCACTGCATGTAATCTTTTTGTTTATTGCATGCAAAAAAGGAGAAAGCTGGAACCAAACATTATTTATACCTGTGTGTTAGTTCAGTCCATTACTCATACGGCTGTGTGTTTTCTTCTCCCTGTTTTGTTTTCTGGTTTCCCACAGGGACTATGTTCAGTACTGGGCAGAGCGGGGTGTGGAGGTGGTGGGCTGGACTGTTAACACTGCTGTGGAGAAAGACTTCTACCAAAACCTGCTGAAGATTGGTTACATCACTGACAGTCTGCTGGAGGACTGTGACCCTCAGTACTGAGTCAGACACATTGAAGACAAAGGAAAGATCTTCATTCTTTTTAAGATAATTTCTTTTTCAAACACAAAAACATAAAGTAGAATTTCAGGTCACGTAAACAATGGAGCAGCATATTTTCAGAGTTTGCCCTGACAGCTGCTTTAGGAATTATTGGGTGCTAGCTGAATAGCTTTATAATGACAACAATTACAAAACAGTGATGTAGTACAAATGCATGGAGGCAAGGAGCAGATCATTACCTGTAGCTGGTATAGAGGTTTTTCTCCATTTAATCTGCATGCATGATATAAACACCATGACAACCAAACTCAACTTTCTTGTTTTATTCTACTTTCAACAGCGTCACCTCCTGAAGCCATGATTAGGTTATGCTAATTTGAAGATCTTTTCTACCATTTGCTCTTCTCTCACAAGGTTTTTGCACTCCTTTAAAGATACAGAGTCTTTGTAAATATTAAAGTCCTTGTGAATTTGTAATTCCAAAACCGTTTGGGTCAGTGTTTAACAAATGTAACACATACAGACATGTACAAACAGGAGACTATAAAGTGAGATATTCAATTTGCACATGACTGTAATGTAAGACTGCGACTGCCTAATCTTCATTTGCGTAATGTTCTCTGTTGCTCTGTGTTCCCATAGCTGGAACACAGAGTTGAAAAACGTTTCAGTTTAAGAACTATAAGAAGCTGCCTTAACTAAAGTATCAAGTGCACTGGACTGATGTACTGAAGTACTGTATAGGAGGAGGATAGAAAAGGAAGGCCTATAAAATAGTAGTACGACCAGTTACAGTGGCACTGTTTAAGACAGATGGAACGCTGGGCTGTAGGTGATATGTAGGTGATCATCTTAACATGAGGGTAAACTGTCTTTTTTTGCTATTTATTTATTTAAATTAATTAATACCAGTGACAAACAGACTTTAAACTATTATTAGAAGGTCAAATGTAGTAAAAAGAAAAAGTCTAAATGGCAAACTGTCAGTATGTTACTTTTTAAATATTACTAAAATAGTAGAAGCCCGACATTAGCTGAGCGATAGCAGAAAATTGCTATGATTGACTAAATATACTATTTAGTAAAATATATTTAATTAGATAGACATATTAGAAATCATAAGTATAAAGCAGCGGTCTCCAACCTTTTTTGTCAAGGACTGGTTCGCCATGCCAGGTCCATGGTCCAGTGGCATAGAGCATAGAGAACTACCTTTTTTTAGACATGTCAGACAGTCAAAGGTATTACAAGATTTGTAGTTTAGATAAGATTATTAGTAATAAAGCAAATATAGCAAAACATACATTTAAAATCACTAAAAGTTAGACAAAACACAGGCAAGACTACTTTAGGATAGAAAAATAAATAATAAAATATATATAGCTATAATTTCAATTAAATTATGAAATAAAAATACACTGAGGTGGAGCTAAAGCTAATTAGCTAAATGTCAAGTGTTTTATTGCCAATATAAATTAAGTATTATTTTTTCAAAAGTCTGAGTTTAGAATTGTCCAGCTCAGCCTTCATTTTAAAGGCCTTATCTGCCAAACAATTACACCCCACAGAGCAAGATACTGGGGTAACAAAATCTTTGTAGTCATGTTTGTTTTCAAAACATGTTTTGTTTCTGAATTTTGTACTTCCTTGAACTGTTTTTAAATGTTATCACAACAAGATATTTCATGTTAACCATTTAGTCTTATCAAAATATCAAATTAATAAAATATTGGACAGAAGTTATTACAGTTTGCCGATGTCACTTTTGGTTCTTATATTTATATTTTCATCAAGGGTAGTAGTCAGAGAATAGTAAAGTGTGATTGTAATGTAAACATGTTATGTGTTTGTTTTTGTATACAGTCTGGTTGCATGCAGTGCCTTTTCTATGTACTGTAAACACAGGAACGTTGGGCAGATACGGGACAACTGAATTATAACCGTTCGTTTATTTGATGTGTGTAACTTTAACTTTACATTAAGTTTAATGTGTTTCCTGTACAAACTGGAAGTAGGTTGTGGCTTGTCCGCACGGGAACTTTATTAGATCGAAACGGTAAAGTGTGTTATTGTTACAGCCTTTCATCCACAGGGCACCGGCGTTCTGGTTGTCCATGCAACGGTATTTTGTGAGAACCGGTTTCAGACTAAAAGAAAATCTGACAATATCGCCTTGCCGTATTCATGAAGACAGTACAAACGTTCTATATGATTAAATCGCCCCTCTGTCTCTGTCACGTGACCAAAAGCTGCTGTCAAGAGACTGCTGGAAGAGCCTTCTTTCGGTGTCCGGTGGCTCTGTTTGTGTCTGTCAACAGCGCCACACATGGGTGTGGCATACGTATTACATCAATTGCACCCTAGCTTCCGTGACCATTTGATCCAGAGCGTTTCTTAGATGTTCAACCAATGTCCTTCTATGCTCTTCAGCCTTTTACCACCCAGCTTGTCTGCACCGTTGGGTTATTTAGGTTCACACCTTGGGTGCGCCTGCATTTCTGTTGTTCCTGCTCTGCTTCTACGACATTTGGCCCAGTAACACAGTGGTTTATGGCTGCTGGCTCCAGGTTGTGCCGAGAGTTTGTACATTTACACAAAGTATTTCCTGGCTTTTTGGTTGAGCTGGAAAAACGTGTTCATTTACATGTCAGTTATCAAATACTGTAGCTACACACCGTCTGTTGTAGTTATTTTTGTGAGTCTGAAAATTTAGAGTTTAATTTCACAACTACACTTCAATTTATATACAAATGGCTGTGGATCAATTTCCTATATTAAAAACTATATTCTATGTGGAGTTTTTTGGGAACTCCGGAGTATCTCATAATAACAAGACACTATCTTATTATTATGAGACGCTAACTTCTGATAACAATATTATACTATACTAATAAGTCTTAAAAAATAAAGGTTTCTCAAAATAAAAAATGCACTAATTTACGGGTACCCGTCATTTCCTCTGATGAAATGTGTCACTATTGCAGGGACACTGTCTCTTTAAGGCGCAGTAGGAGGTGTGTGTGGACGTAGAGGAGTTGCTGCGCCGTGACGCGTGCGTCCTGCCTGTTTTATGAATTGTAACTACTGCCATAGACTGTGACATTGTCGAAGCGTAGGACACAAAAAGTGACGCAACTTTGAGACAAAGTGCAGCAGTGAAGAGTCAGAGCAGCGTCGGCTGACATGAGCCCAGCGTTTGACTTTTACGCAGAGAGAAGCGCAATGAGAGGCTGTGTACCCTGAGAACTTGTTGTGCAGGTCGGTCACATGTCATGTGTTTTGGGGGTCATTCCTGTGGCTTCATTGTCTTTACCCTGTGAGTGACATTCAGACCGAGGTGCTCTGACACTGAGAGCGACAGATTGTGGAAGACAGCACCGGAGTGGACGTGGCTTCTGGAAGAAAGACTGCAGAGAAGTCAAGTAAAAGTTTACACGTGTGGTTTTTTTCTTCTACCGTGCCGTGCATGATGTACACAATCACCAGAGGTCCCAGCAAGCTGGTCACCCAGAGACGCACAGGTCAGACTCTGGACTCCTACAGTCAACACACACATCGACCAGACATTGATGTTGTTAGTAAAGTAACTGATCTGCTGATTTATTTTTTAAGAATGTGAACTTTGTTTTAATGTCCAGGCCCCACGCAGCAGCTGGACAACAAAATGAATGACTTCAAGCACAAACAGACCTCCTGGAGTCTGCCTGGGTAAGATCACCACTCCTGTATGTGTGTTCGTGTATGTGTGTGTGTTGGTTGTTTCCGGAAGGACATGCAGGGTTAAAATCTGTGCATCAATGTTGTGACGGCTTTTACATCATTTTCTTCCCCAGATTTTTCCAGTTTTGTTTAATTATTGCAAGAAAAGTTGCAACACTTTTGGCTGTTTGGTTTTGTCTGAGCCAAATCGTGTTTAGACTTTACTTAAAATTTAAAAGTATAGTTGTGTAAACCAAGAAAACATTTACAAACAAATCCACGGCTAGAAGTCAGCAATTTACAAGGAAAACAGCAAAAACGAAACAATTTAAAGCTTTTTAAATCATATTACATCATTACCTTTATTTCCTGATGATTAGACAATGGTTGGTCTATAAGTAGACAAAACATGCCTTGGGGGTTGTTCAGGGAAAAATAAAGTAAAAAAAAAAAAGCTAAAGTTTTGACAAAGAAAGCTCAAATTTGCCAAGTCATCAAAAATGTGGCTCCAAATTAAACTTAAAGTCCACCCTAATCCAAAATGTTGTTTAAATCGCTAAAAAGACCTTGAACCTGTTTCATTCTGCTGTGACCTTCTGTATGACCTTGAGGAGCCAGCACATGCTCCTTCATTCAGCTGTTGCTCATTTTGGCTTTCATGAAACCAGCTTCGCTCCACTGAGAGCCTTGAAACATCCTTCTGGGGAATTTATAATGTGCCCTGGATTAGAACATAATCCATGATCAACATGTGATGTGTCTCCTTTTTTTTTTTTTTTTGTTTTTTTTTTTTTTCCGTCAGGCTACCTTCACCTAAAATTGTCTTCAATCGTCCTAATGGTAAAAAGTACCATCAGCCTGCTCCGACTCGCCCCGCAGACAATGAACAGGAAGAGGTTTTCACTGGAGCACATGAGGAAAATGTCAAGTTTGTTTATGAAGGTGAGGAACTGAGTGAATGAATGAATTGTGTGACTGGTAACATGAGAAGTTGGGATAAAAATGTTGGTATCATGTGTTTCTAGTCCCTCACCAGCCTTTTGGCTAGTGACATTGTTAAATCATCAGGGTAAAGTAGAGCTGCTCACCATCTGCCTCCTCCTCCTTCACCTCACAGAAAGACCTCACCCACACAGCTGCTCTGACACTGATAGCTGTGATAAAGAAACACGTTGTAACACCCCCATGTCATGCTTCTGTTGACCTGCGTCCTGTGGGAAACAAGTTTTTAGCTTTGAAGTAATCTGTTGAAGAAAGACTATAAAACAATCAGTCTAGGTTGAACTGCAGCTCCATCTAGAGGAGGAGTATTCAGGGCAGTATTCCAAAAAGTGGGTTATGTACAAACAGAGTATGTTAACCCTGAGATGAAGGATACTCTGAGTCAGTCACCATGGTAACAGACTCTTTGGCCATAACCTGCTCGCTGTGAGATTTACTTAAAGAAACCCTGAGTTTCTAGTGTTTGTGTACACATCGTCACAATTTAAAAATAAAGATGTGTGAACATTGTGTCCTTGATCAAACTGTGTGGCTGTTTGTACTTTCAGCCTGGCAGGAGATGATGGAGCAGGAGCAGAGGTCAGAGGATAATCAAGGAACAGTCCACTTCAATGACCCCACTTCAAGCCCACACATGGATAGTGAGTACAGCTGCTCCTTACACTGCACCAGTCTCCTCACACTGCTCCATCTTTTCTGGTTCATTTACCCACATATCCAAAGTCTTCTCATACAATTGATGAAAATGTTTTCATTTGTAAAATATAAAATATATTTTTTAATATATCTATTTTTTTTAATTCAGTAAAAATGCACATAATGATGCTACCATGGGAAATACAACCCATGGTTGTCATGTCAGTCATTTCAACCTTTAACTCTTTATTTGTCGGTACAATTTGTTTCAGAATTTTATTTATTACTATTTTTATTAATAATATTATTCCTCCGAATTGCTCTCACTGAGGTGTTGCCTTTGTTCGTTAATGTTTTACATAACTGCATCATCCTGTATAACAGAGAAACGTATATTGAAGTTTTTGAATTTGTCCGCAAGAGGGCAGCGAGCGCTCGTGATTCTGATCTAATCGTTGACCTAACGTGAATGTACTGTATAAACGTATACGTTCACTGCAACATTTCGTTACTCTGTAGCATGAGTTGCTAACATGCTAGTATGCTAAAACATTAAAGCGGTCTTCAGTTGTTTAACCAATAACGAATGATGGCTTCACAGAAGGACCGCACCAAAGTGTTGTGTAAACACTGGAGGGCGACAAACACCGTCACCAAAATAGGGAAATTAGGTCAGTTTATTAGAGACGTTAAAACATAACAAGAAATTGACTCCGACAATCATCAGCGCAGTTGTGCTGAAAATCAAAATGCGTTACTACACCACATACGAAAATATTATTCGCATAGTTTTTTGGTCTTAACAGTTAAAAGAATGTCAGTCTCTGCATGAAATGTGAATTTGACTTTATTTTCATTCCTTCCAGACTTTGTGCCCATTGACCTGGATGAATGGTGGGCCCAGCGTTTCCTGGCCAATATAGACAAGACATCCTGAGATTTTCCTTTCATTTGTGGACTCTAAGAGACAGTTAGAAGAATGTGGACAGACGATACAAGCAGAGCAACAGCGTGTTGCCCTGACATGCTTCCGAAGGACAGACAAAACCAGAGGATCCTCTAAGCTTGAACTAAATCATGCCTTAAACTCCAGCCTGCCAGAGATGCCTTGATGATGTGAGCTTTTCTTTTTCAAATCATACTAATATTCTTAAAAGCTATGGACCTTCATCATGCAGTAAAAATGTACAGAACCTGCAAAATACTCTTTATTTATGTACATGTACACTGGCAGAAAATCTGAAGTCATTGTTTTTCAATGAGAGCCTTAGAATAGCTGTCAGGTATATATATAGGTTATAACTTGTCTTTAAATACACTCTTTGCTGCTCATGGTGGGGGTCTAAGCTGACATTTTTAGGAAGCAGTTGTTATTTTACGTTTTACTTTTAAAAAGTAAAGTTTTCTTTTATCTAACTGGTAAAATGAAAGTTTGACAAACACCACGACCAGTGCCATCCAGTCTTTTTAACTTCATTTCTCACAGTATAACCACTATTTTAAATATTTGTTCACATTTCAACAGCCTCCAAGTGTGTGTGTGTGTGTGTGTGTGTGTGTGTGTGTTTGCGTGTTTGCGTGTTTGTGTGTGTGTCACCATCAGGGGATAAAGAGCAGGATGAGAGGAGATGAATCAGGTCGGTACTTCCTCCACTGATTGGCCTTTTGTTGACGGCTGTAAAAGCCTCGAGTTCACGTTTATTTCTGAACATGTCTGGGTGCTCTGTCCATTTCTATAAAAGAAACGTTATTTGTAGGACAAATATGTTCCTGTGTATATGTTTGTGTTGGTGTCAGTGTCAGTGTCATTGAAAGAGGAATACTGATGAATATGAAGCATTACCAGGTGATGGTGTTGGATGAATAGTGAAATAAGATGCTCTTTTATTTGTTCTTACAATTGTAAATCTGACTCCAGAGGAGTCAGTGCCTCACCATCTATGGACCTCACTGCACATCACTGCAGTAAAATACTATACCAATAAGTTC